GTTTGTATGACCTCGTTAATTAACCTGTAACATGTTACATTTATTTTAAACTTTTTGCCCTCAAGGAATAAGTTTGTTTCCTAATTCAAGGTCAGTGAATTTCATATCAACTCAGCCGATTGAAATTTACCGTTACATTTATATTTACTTCTTCTTCTTCTATTTCCATACAGAGCATTTTATTTGATTCCTTGTTCATTTTTCATTTTCTAACTTTCAACTTGAATACTTCGTTATTCATATTAAATTGGCTGAAGAAAATGCCTTTGGCTTCATTTCCTCATATTTAAATGACACAGTTCACATTCAACAGAGTAAATTACTAACTAATACAGGGAAAATTAGCTCGATTATATTAGTAAATCTGGTGAATCATTTGAACGAATACTATTGATTGTAACAGTGAATATGATTAATCTATTGATAAGAATTTGAAAAATTCTATTGGAACAATTCTGACAATGAGAATGGACTTCATTAGTAAAACTATGAGAGATGATTGGAAAGTTAAGACTCGAAAAAATTGCATTTCGATTAGATGACCTTACGATTGTAAATCTAATTGCTTTTTCTTAATCAAAACACTTTTTACAGTTCTGATTAGCAATTAACTAATCTCATTCTATTGTGAACATGAAATTTATTGGAAATCCTTTAAATACACTTAATCCAACGAGGAAAATCTTAATCTCTACTTTTACATTCATCTACAATAACACAAAGATTTCAACCTTTAGCTTTGCTGTTCTCCTCTCGTTATTTGCATGGTTATCAATTGTTATTGGATTTGGGGAAAAAAATTCTCGACTCTGTTCGTACTCGAACCAGTTGAACATGCAGAAAATTACCTTCTACCACCATCACTACAACAAAAGCTTAGAACTTTATCTTTTCCTTTGGTTACTATCCAATTAGAGTTTAACTTTACCTGTTCGCTTATAAGAGTACAAAGGTAATTGAATTGAAATACAGAAAACAACTAAAAGAGTAAGATGAACTTTCAACCTTAACACTCACCTTTTGTCTCAATATGATAAAACAAAAACAAGATCGAATCTAAAAAAAAAAGCCTAAGGTAAAATCAATAATAATTTAACTTCGTTTTCAGCTTGTTAGATTTTCCAACCTTCTAATATTCAATCATGAAAATGTCGTTCTTATAATTTTCTGATTTATTTTCTCATCCTCTCTTACTAATAGTATCCATTTGAAAACAATAACGAGCAACTTAAACCATCTTGACCACCATTTCCTTTTCCTTAACTTTTTCCCTCCATAAACCAATTGCAGCATAATAATAACAGTGATGATGAATATTTGATTTTCCTTACAAGTTAAATCAAATCCAGAAGTGTTAATACAACTCAATGGGATCATCAAAGTTTTTATCAGTTCGAGTTGATTAACTGTAAACAATAATTCTGAGTCTATTGATATTATGATGAGGAAAATGTTTGTTTTTTTTTTATATTCTATTGAAATAATATCATGTTTTTATCATGCTAAATTTGATATTCTTATTAATACAAAGTTCATGAATGTAAATAGACGAAGAGAATAATTTCTTGACGATTTATTTTTTTTTCTTCTTCTTATTCCAAAGTTCCAATGGATCAGAAAATTTTGCTTAGTTTTTTTTCTCTTCATCTTCCCTCATCAACGAATCATCGTTGAATCTTTTTTATGTTATTATTATTATCAAAAGGATATAATTTATTTTGTATATCCAATCTAGCAGAGCATCATCACCATCATCTTCCTCTTATTCATCTTCTATTTTCTTATATTCCATAGAAGATAGAGAGAGAGAGAGATAGAGAGAGAGAGAGAAAGCAAAAATAGGAAGACAATGAAGATCATGAAGATGACTTCTCATTTTTTCCTTCCATTTATGAACTAAATATAATACAGGCACAATGAACGAAGAGTAAATTTAATACGAAACATCGATTTTTTTCCATTTTTACTTCAATCATTTCTTTTCACTCCTTTCAACTTTATTTTCTCTCTCTCTCTTTCGATTATTTTATCAACTACCCCCTTCATCCTCTTCCTACTAGTATTTCATCCCACCATCATCAGCATCATCGTAATCATCTTCTTATTACATGTACACAAGATTATTATTGATGTTCATGTTTTTATTCAAATACCATGATAGTAGAAAGGGATGAGGAATAGGGAGTAAAAATGTTGCTTCTCAGATAAATTGTGAATATAATCAAGTTAATGAGATATACAAAATCTTTTCTCAAGGTGTGATCTTTTCTCATTATTATATTTTTTTTCTATTCTTTTCTCATATCTCTCTCTCTCTCTCTCTCTCTCTCTCTCTCTCTCTCTCTCTCTAATTTAATCTACTTGATTGTCTTCTCAAACTGATTGATAAGTTATCCCAAAATTTTCTATGATGTAAATACATATATGACTTTTTTTCATTTTCTGAACAATAACATACACATAAATTTGATAACATTTTTATTGATAATACGAAATAATAAATAGATTACTTTTAAATCATGGTAACAGAGAGAGAGAGAGACATATACATAAAATTTGTATTCTCAACTGGGAAACCAATATAATAAATAAATTGACTTCAACTTTATATCCTAATCATGATAAAATTGATCTCAATCTCTCGTTTTCTCTCTCTCATCGATAAAACTGATCTTCACCGATTGAATTTGATTTTCAATTATTTCTCAAGTGCTGTCAGAATATCTTCACTTGATGCTTGTAGTTAGTTAAATAAAGTTAATGAAACAACTTGAGAATCAATTAATTTGGTAATCAAACTTTACCATGATTAAAATTAAAACGTTCAATCATTTGGTTAAAATTAATTGTTCATCATCAATCAAGTTCAGTGTTATTATTATTTTGATTCACAAAATATATTAACATATCAGCAAATGATAGAAGAGTAAATTGTCTGAGTAAATCTTTTAAAATAATCTATTGAATCTTCATTTGGTCAAGTTTGATGGCCAATTGTCCAGTTGTTAATGGTTATCATTTTTGCTTTATCATTATCTTTTAACATTCCCAAATAAGTATGAGAGAGAGAGAGAGAGAGAAGCTTATCAAAATCACTTACATTGATATAACAATAAATTCAAAGGTAAAAGGCGTTAAGAGGAAGGAGTGGTTGGATAACAAGAGGGTGTGTTGTAACATTTATCCATCTTCAATGAACAAAAAATAAAAGAGATGCCCAAAGTTAGTGACCAACAAGAGGTCTGAATGGTAAAGGAAGATGAAGATGAGATAGAATGAGAGAGTGGAGGGGATAATGATGTAATAAGTGAAAAATGATGATGATGTCATCTAGAATAAGATACTGATGATTATGAAGAGAGAGAGAGATGAGCAAATGCCTGAAGAAAATTGTATAGCTAAAAATGGGACAGAAAAAATGGACTTGATAATGTTAATATACGATGTGTACTTCTTGATAAATGTTCATATTCAATTTATAAAAGATACAAGTTTTCATCCATCTTCAGGATGCTCATCATCATCATGCTTATAAGCCTTGCGGCTTCAACCCATCAGAATCAATAGTAAAATATGAACTACATATGATTAAAGTTTTATTTATTATCATAACGATCATCATCTTTTTTTTTCTTCTTCTTGAGATTATTAGTATCATGATTATATATCGAAGCCGAAGGAACAATTTTTCAAAATTTCTCTGGAATCAGGATGAATGTTTGGCATCTAGGAAGAAATAGAAGAGAGAAGAGAAGGAATGAAAAAAAAACTTAGAAAAAGAGAAAAAGTTTTTCTTCCGAATTTTTTTTTCTGCTTCGTTTTCCTTTTTCTCTCTTTTTTACTTGTAATTTCTCATCTAATGGTGAATGTCATTCATGTTAAAAGATAGATTATTAAACGATCTCAATCAATCTTCCAATGATGATAATACAACCAACGAATGATGATGAACCATGGTGGTGATGATAGTATTCAAACTAGTATCTTGTTTATTGGATTATTAATAATTGGAGAGGTCGATCAACACCATGAAAATCAACAACCATCATACAACTATGGAAGAGCAAAACGAGAGAAAGATGATAAAAAAAATCCAAGAAAGAAAAATGAATAAAGCAAACAAAAGAAAAACTGAAAGAGAAAAAAAAGTTCATGATATTCCAGCCATATTCATCAAACGATTTAGCTTCAACATACCTTGGCTCATATTTTCGTGAGGAAAACATCAGGGAAAATGTTCTGTTAACTGAGTTGTTGAGATCAGAGAAAAAAAAGTCCATAGGTTGTCACATAAACTGTCAAGGTACAAGAAGCAAAAAAAACAAATATTCATTTTACCAAGTGAAGTGTTTCCTTAGTTTTATATTAAAGCAAATTAAAGTTAATTAATGATTAGATTATATCATTTGAGAGTCAACAGTCAATATATTTTACGATTTTATCATAATATGAAAAAAAGCGACAGGTAATGTCACTGAAAAGTGAATCAATTTTTTGTATTTCTCTCTCTCTCTCTCTTTATCTTGTCAACAATTTACTAACTTAGTTAACAGTTGATTGACAAGTTTAATAGTTAATTTTAACAATTTTGTCACTTTGATCAACATCATATTGACGTAACCCATTTGGGATGCAATTTGTTAATCCAAGAGATTAAAGTAATAACCTAATGATGATTACCTTTTTTCTTTGCTAATCTCTAACTTTTCTCTCTCTCTCTCTCTCTCTCTCTCTCTCTCTCTCTCTCTCTCTCTCTCTCTCTCTCTCTTTATCTTGTCAACAATTTACTAACTTAGTTTACAGTTGATTGACAAGTTTAATAGTTAATTTTAACAATTTTGTCACTTTGATCAACATCATATTGACGTAACCCATTTGGGATGCAATTTGTTAATCCAAGAGATTAAAGTAATAACCTAATGATGATTACCTTTTTTCTTTGCTAATCTCTAACTTTTCTCTCTCTCTCTCTCTCTCATTGTTTGATTATCTTACCTTAGGTAAACCACGACCTTCATTAACATGGTGGAGGGATGATAATATAATTGATGATTCTTTTGATTACAATGATAAAGATGGTAAGTAAATTGTTACAGTGTTGTAAATGATGATAATGGTTGTGATTATATATGGAAAACTTTGATTTGGTTTGAACAGCAAAAAATTATTCGTAATTGTCAATTTGATTAAACCTCTTATTATTATACATTACATGTTATATTAGAAAGTATTTGCTCTGTTAACTTTAATCAATTTAATCAAGATAAAAGTCAAGTTCTTACATGGGATGTAATCATTACTCTTACAAGCATTTTGCTTGGTAGATTTTTTTTCTTCTTCTGTCTTCACAGTATTCATTTTATATTCATCTTTTTCGTTTCAACATGAAAACCAATAAACTTAATCTAACACAATCAACAATCTAGTTGATGATAATGAGCCTAATGTTTCATGCTAATAAGACTAATTCAATAATATTAAAATTCCCAATTGAGTTTAAAATGTTGTCTCATTTTATTAGATTTACAGGATTTACAAGAGAACAAATTTTCATTTCTTCTTCTTTCTTACTTTTATTCTACTTCCGATAAGATATTCATGGTTACTATTCTCAGAAAATTCTGAATAAATCAGCATATAGTTTTTCTCGTCGACATTATTTTCGGAACATGGAAAACAGAAAAGTTCAATGATGAGTTCGTACTCCATCTCAGTATTTTTTCCCTCTATTTTTCCTTAATTATACGTGTCACTATTTGAGAGTCAAATTTAGTAAAATTCATTGAGAAAACAAGTGAAAATAACCATCCCAATGTTAATATTATAAAGAGAAATGTTGGTTTCTGGTTAAAATGATGTTTTTTTTATTTATATTAATTGATTAATTTACTTTTATGTATTAGCCTTTTGGCAAGACAATTATCATTATTTTACTCATAATTCTGAAAGTTTCAATAATATTATCAGGGTGAAAGTTTGTCAAACTTTTTCTTCATTCAACTTTATGCCTTTGGATAAAGAGAGATAGAGAATGGGAGTGAAAAATATTTCTTTTATCATATTATAAGAAATGAAGAAAAAATCTCACGAGAATAACATGACAAAGGAATACTACATGTACATAAGGTCAGAGGAGGATAATGATTTGCGTTCAATTGACATTTTTGATGGGTGACACTTTTCAACACATGAGAATATATAAAATAATAATAATCCAATGCTACGTGTAATGTATTCTTATCATTCAACATTTTCCTTATTTGTTTGAAAATGATTTTTATCCCTAAAAATCTGATAAACTGATTGCAAAATAGACAATCAATGTCAAATCAAAGGTAAAATTAGGTCAACAGTGAGAACATTTTGTCCATTTTTCGAACCACATCATCACCATTATCATCATCGCACACAACCATCAATACCAATGATTTTTGTCTCCCAGTTGAGACAATAGATTCTCAATGTCTTCCATTTGATATTACCTTTCTCACCTTTTCTTTTCCCCTTTCTACCTGTAATGTCAACTGTCTCAATTTCATCATAACTCATCATCAATCTCTCTCTCTCTCTCTTTTCGACGATTTCTTCTTTAATAAAGTGACAAGCAATCAACTGATGATAACATCTTTAGCTCGTCACTATTTACTTTCTATCTTCACATGTCAAGCCATAAATAACAACATAACCCTTCCATCAACTACATCCATTACATTAGATTTAAACAGTAAGTTCGAAACAATTTTCTCTCTCTCTCTTTCTTTCTTTCCTTTTTTCTCTTTCTATTGGTGTCTCTTCATCGTCATTTCTCATTCTGTCTCGGTTAAATCAGTCTAAACGCTACACACCTTCAATTATCTTCGAGATTCAAGTTACAACTTTCATCTCTTTCTCTCTTTAAGGTTTTTGTCTCCCATTTACGAATATGTTTTCAATTCTATTGGAATTGAGAAAAAAAAAGATTGTTCTTCATCATTTGTAACTTATTCACATTATCGATAATAATAATAACATATTTCTAAAATTCCAACATCATTCAATTCTCTTATTTTTCATCATTTTCCATCTTCCTTCCTTCCTGTGATCAGTTATTCCTCTCTGATTCTTTCACTTGTTTTTATCATTATCCAAACTGGTGATTAAGAGATGATCAATTTTCAACTGAAACCTTATATTCGAATTTTTCTTCTCTCTCTCTCTCCCTCTCTTTCTCTCTACCCCGCCTTTACCCTTCATCTTCATCTTTCTCATTCTTGTACTATCATTAGTCCTTCAATCTTGTTAATCCCTTTCGTACTTTCTCATTGGTACCATCTCAAAAATCCTCCTAACAGTCATTCTTTTTCATTTTCTATCACTTTCCACTCCACCCTATTCACCACTTTTACTTCCTACTTGTTTTTTTTCTCGATTTTCCTTTGTTTCTCTTTCACATTGTTAATTTTTTTCGAGTAAATCCGTTTCAGATTAAGATTCTCATCTCTTCTCACTCATTCACTTTTCTTTCATCATCAACATTTAACAAGATTTTTTTTATACACACACACTTAACACTCCATCATCCTAATCATCTTTATCCTTCTGTATTACCTTTACTTGTCTCTCTCTTTGGCCAATTTTCTTCCTTTTTTTCCATTATCAAACATTTTCCCTTGTTAGTATTACAATCTTCATCCTCTCTCATCATATACAATATAATATATAATCTGTTAATCAGTCTCATCTTTGTAACACTAATCCATATCCAAATAACTGTTAATAAGAGTTGCAACAGCAATACAACTATGAACAGGCAAGAGCGCAAGAAAAAAGTCAATTCATTAACCTTTCAACTCTTCAGCAGTATAACAATTAAATTCATCAATCAAAAACTTATCAAGATATAAAAAAGCATCACAAAAATAACTAATGAGCTGAGATTTTCTTATTTTCAATTACATTTTTATTAATCAGTTAATTAATGTTAATCCAATGTCAAACCTTTTCCAATAAGCAAAAAAAAACTTGATTTGATAGATGCAAGGTCATCCTGAAGGTTATCAATGACCAAATAGTTGTGACATTTAGATAAATTTACCTTTGTAATCTAATCAATTTTCACCTTTGCTGATTAGATATTAATTCAAATAATTAAACCGTTATTTCATCATTAAGATTGAAGATTATTGTAACTGTTTCCCTTGATTCACCTTCAATCATCATCATCTCCACTTTGATGATCAACACACCAATTAATTGTGAAAGAAAAGTGTAAACAAAGTTAATTGTATACTAATTATTCACTAATTAATTTGTCTCTTTTAATTGTTAACTCAACAAACAGTGAAACCAACTGAAGTTCATATAACTCAATTAACTTCAGTGTTAGTTGCTGATCATGAAGCATCATTTGAATGTAATACATTCGGATCCAGACCAAAGGCAATATTATATTGGTTTTTTGATGGTCAACGATTTAATACCCTAATCAATGGTAAGTATTACGATTTGTTTTTAGTTGATTCTGCTTGGACACTCGTACCAAATGTGAACCTAAACTCACATATAAAACATAATTTCATCCTAATGATAATCAACCATTAAATCAGTGTTGATGATGATGGTTGAGTTATCATTAATCCACTCGCTTCCACCCTGATATATTAACTCTCAATTTCATCAATGGGTTAATACTGATAATTGGTCTTTCCTTTTTTTTGTACTCTGAGGTTTTCTCCATTTTTTTCAATATTATGATTTATGATAAATTTTCTCCAGCATTCATTTCAATCCTGACATTAAATTCTGATTTTTTCTTCTTCTCTTCTCTTCTTATATTCTATTCATATTTATATTATTATTATATTCATTTCATTTTTACTTTTACTCTCATTTTTTTATCATTTTCACTCATTTCTTTTTAATAGCAGTTAGAGATATATAATAAAATGCTGATCTAAACCCAAGTATTAAAAAAAATCTCATAAAAAGTTATCATCATTTATGATTATTATGCAAATTTTGCATACCCCCTTTTACAATATAATAATAATAATGCTAATACTTGGAAATATAGCTAATAGCTTTTCACTTTCCTCTCTCTCTCTCTCTCTCTCAATTTCATTCATTTTCATTACAATTGTTTATCTATTGATCATCATCATAATCATCCGCATCCTTTTTATCATTTTTTCTTCCCTTTCTTAACTTAGGTGATCATCAAACTAGTACAACAATAACTTTAACAATCAAACAGATTCACAATAACGCAATACTTATTTGTACAGCTGAGAATCCAAAGATTCCAGGATCAACTATATCGGATAATCTTAAATTAGATGTACACTGTAAGTTATTAAGTTATTATAACTTATATATTTTTCTTTCTTTTCTCATATATATAAAATACCTGAGATTTTACCTTCACTTAATCTCTTGCCTTTTGATTGACCAAAATTCTGTGGTATTGGCATTTATTCTGGGTGATAGTTGTTTATCCTTGTGTGTGTGTATGTGTGTGTAAATCTTTAAATTCTTGTTGAGATTTTTTTTCTTCAAATTTCTTATTGATTCTGTGATCTATTACCTGATATCTTTTTTACTTTTTTCTTCTAGTGAACTTAATCTCTGAATGAGTTTACACTTGAGCTTTTTCTTGAGAATCTTAAAGGGAACCAATAAAAATAAAGAAGAAGACAAAAAACAAAATCGCTGACTTTGAGCTTTGAATAACTGTTGATCATAATATAAAGAAGATGTATCAACTTGGAGAGACTGAGAGATTAATCAGAATTTTCCTCATCCAATATGAATATTAACAAAAAACTGCTAAAAATTCAAGTATTATGACAATATTTTGATAACATGATTGATTTTTTCCCCTATTGACAAAGAAGAAAAAAAGTTTCAACCTGAATGCTGATTCTGAATTTTGAACACAGAAAACTTTATCCAAATCTTTTCGGCTCAATATTATGAATATAAAAAAAATGCTTAAACTTTAATCTCTGGCTGAATAGGTTCTGATTCTAAATATTGATAATGTTAAAGAGGAAAAAAAAATTTACTGATTTTGATTAAATGATTATTTTCTAATTCATCATTTCCTTTACACCAAAAATTCATTGATACGTATTAGATATACCTCGTCTTTCATTGAGACTTGGATCTCCAACGATTTCATTAACTACTCTCCAGGAAGGTAATGATATTTATTTTGACTGTGAAATCGATTCAAATCCTCATATCAATCGTCCAATCGTTTGGCGTTTCAATGGTGATATACTTCACTCCCAGCATGGTGAGTTGATCATCATCTCTTTTGTTAATATAATAATTTATCGTTAATATCTAACAATATTATCATTTTACCTTTGATACCAATTCTAGGAGTGATACAAAGTAATCAAACTTTGGTACTTCAACGTGTTTCTCGTAAGCAAAGTGGTACTTATCAGTGTGAAGCGGGAAACAATCAAGGAACTGCGCTAAGCAATACAATCAATTTAACCATCAGATATGCTCCATTTTGTCGTAATGAAAATATGTAAGTTTGATCCATTTGTATTCATCATTCAGTCATAAATTTGTCATCTCAATCTCACGGAAATTTGACCTTGAAAAAAAATATTCATTCATTCTGTTTGTTTACCTTATTCTTTCTCATGCTCATGATGAAACTTTTAGACTTGAGAAAATTTCATTAAAATATTAGATAAAGTCAACAGAAAAGATGAGGATAGAAAAATATATTTACTATATGATAACCAAACAAAGTTAAAAAAATTTCTTCATCCAAAGATGAAAAATATAATATAATTGAATCTCCTTCCCAATGATTTTCGAGTAAAAGAAAAATAAAACCTAAACAATTTATCCCATTTACTCATTATTTTCAATTACTAAATCGTCACAATATATTTAATAGATTTAGTATTTACCGTTAATCGTGATAATCTCAATTCAAAATGTATGAAGAATTTCGAGGAATCAAAATTGAATCGAGTTCAATAAATTCTGTAAAATAACCTTTTCTTTTTCTTGGAATAGGATAGTTTTTTTTTCTGTCCATCAATTGACCGATAGTATGAAAAGAGAAGAGTAAAAAAATGAGTAAATAATGAAAAGAAAAATTTTCATCAAAAATTGAACATTTCGTGTTTCGTATATTGATTACGTGTAATATTCAATATATTTTAAGTTATGTTACCAAGATTAACAGGGATGAAAAAAATTTCTACAACATGTTCACAGGGAGACAGAACACATCATATACGAGTATGAATACGACATTTTTTTTAAAGTAAAATGCAATTGAATATCATCTTACTTCATGATAATGATTCTTAAACATGATATTTGATAGAAAGTGTGGTAAACGAGGAAATCTGAATATGGAATCAATTCAGTCTATCGATAGAGAAAAAATCGCCTCAAACTGAATGTTATTTTCATCGTTTTGAAGAAACAACAGGAAAAGAAAAGGTTCTCATATCATGTTCATGGTGATCATCATGATTGGTTCATTAGATTATATTGATATTTTTTTTCTTGCCTGAATAAAAGGGACACACTAAAAGCTACAGTTTTATTCATTGACATGATGATGATGAATATATAATAATAATCATCAACTAAAATGTCAATACTTTTATGCTTTGGATGTCAAATCAATGTATGTTTAATGATGTAGATAAAATAAAAATACGAAGAAACCATAAAGGATAAAAGTTCTAGGGATTTTCTCATCTCTCATCATGAAAATATGATAATTTCCATTTCACATGAAGCTATTAGAAGGAAGAAAAATAATTCTTCATGCAATATTATTTATCGAAATAAAAGAATCAGAAGTTTTTGGAAACTTTAAAAATAATCATTTTCCAATCCCAAGATGATAAGGAAAATGTTGTTAGTAAATAATATGATTAACTATCAGTCGGTTATTCAATTGCAATAGTATATTCAATAACATGTTAATTTGATTGTTAGTAGATTTATCCAAAGATTTTCAAAGCTTGATCGCGATTAAGTAGCAACGTGTTGGTATATTATTACAATTGAATTTACCAAGATGCAAGAAAAAAATATACTAACTCAATTTGAAATTATTGTTAATATATTAATTTGTATTCTAAATGCTGTGCTAAGTGTGTTAATCTTTTCCACCTCATTATCATGATTGCTTGATTAATCAAGCAAAGTTCAGTTTTTCTAAGCGAGTGATTAGTTTAAACTAATCGTTCTAATGCTGTTATTATTTTATTATCGTTGAATATCTTGGTGAGAATTGAGTTACTCGGTTTTTTTTTCGTTGGAATTTTTTTCGCTCTCCTCCTTCACGATGATTTAATTCACTATGAGCAGAGAGAGAGAGAGAGAGAGAGAGAGAGAGAGAGAGAGAGAGAGAGAGAGAGAGAGAGAGATAGTAAAAATGTTCTGGTTTCTTTCTGAATATTAGTATATGGATAATTTTTTTCTTCTCTATAAAAACAATTTGGAAACTTTGTTCAAGTTCTTTTTCCGTTGATAATCTTTTCTCTCTTTCATTTTCTTTTTCTCATTCAACTTCCTCTCTCTTTGCTTGTTCACCCTTAATTCACAGATTGATGAGGATAAACGAGAAAAGATAAACTTCTTAACCTTTTTTTCACCTCAATTTTTTTTCTTCACTTATTTTGCATTGCAAGTTTTTCTTGTTGTAGAAAACTAAACATAGAAAAAGACTTAAACACTTGATTAAATCTCTAACATAAAGTGTAAAGAAAAGGAGAGAGAAAGAGAGAGAAAGAGACAGGAAAAAAAATTTCCATAGAGATTTCAATTCCATTCAAGGTATTAGAACAGAATGGAAAACTTGTTGGGAGGCTGAATAGTGATAGAGAGAGAAGAAGAGAAAGAGAGAATGGAGAAATCAAGAATATACAAATCATAATGGAAATCAAAGTTCCTAAAAGTTGATTCTCATCTCGTCATCACGCTTCCAATTCAAATATCATGTTTCTCTTCACATTTATTGAAATGGAAGTTATCATGACTTTAGTAGAATTGAATTCATGTTTTGTTGCTCTTACATCGAAAGCATTGTCTTCACAAGCTAATAGTATTTATATACATGTAAAATTCTAATAACGGTTAAGATAAATGCTGAGAAAATATTCAAATTCAAATATAGTATCAGAAATTCAATATTAATCCAAAAATCAATCTTTCGTTTACTCTCATAGTGCATTATCATATTGAGAGATTAACCTTAATTCATTTTCGTGTATTGGAACCAGAAAAAAAAATAATATTCTCATATAAAAATCAGCTCCTTTTTTTCAGGAATATTCAATGATTCAGATGAACTTGGAGTGTAGATTAATAAATACACTCAAATGATGATGATGATGATGATATCTATTTGAATATTATCTTTTCATGTTTTTTTCATATCAAATTTTTACCAATATAATGGTTGAGATTTTTGTAAAAGAATCGAAAGAGAAAAACAAAACAATAATAAAAGTTCTGTATTCGAGTATTATGTGCATCCATTTATCGTGTGTATCGATACATGTATGTACATGTAGATTTGGAACAAAACAAAAAAACGTTCTTAAGATGATAATATTCTGCTGAGAAACTCTGATTACATTTTTATCTCTGATGATCATTCCGATTTTACCATTAATCTTTTATAATACATCCTTTTAATGCTTTTTCATGTATTTTCCTTTCTTCTTCATCAATATACATATTCCATTGGATTGAATGATAAAAAAAAACTCCAATTCTAATTCATTGGTGGACGAATCCTTTTCCTTTCCCATGGTCAAATTATATATGAAAATGTCTCTTCTAAAATACTCTTACAGTTTAGTCTATGGAGTCGCTCTTCATGAAACCATTTATCTTGAATGTGATGTAGATGCGAATCCATCTCGTGTCTCTTTCCAATGGAAACATCAATACAATTCAGAGTTATTACCATTTAACATAGTTAATGACACAAGGTAACGTATACACACACACACATCTAACGACGTATTAAAAGATGATGCTGATGATAAGTAAAGTAATTTCATGATGATAATGATGATTATGATTACAGTAATCATCAGCTTCCTTTTTCAATATTCCTCTTTCCTCTTATGAATCTCATTTTGTGATTGCCTTTTTGTTTTCTTTTGTTTCATTTCGTTATTTTTTTTGTTCTCCATCGGATTTAATACTGTTAATAAGCTTTATTATCATTCCATTGATTGTAATAGTTAATAGTTTGAATGTTTTAGCTCCATCAAAAATCAAACTCAACAACATCATTTAACCTTTACAACTCCCACTCTCATCAACCTATTATCTCCGCCTTACTCAAGTAACTTTTCAGATTGTTGAAACTTTTCCCATTCTCTATCTAACTCTGCATCTCTATGGAGCATGGATCTCCATCTCTCTCGTCTCTCGTCTCTTGTACTTATCATCATCATCATCATCATCATGATTCTCATGAAAAATCATCATTAAAACCATGATGCAAACATCCTTTTCTCCTTATGTAGATCAACCTTAAGCTACTCACCCCATGAGCCTAATGATTACGGTAAAATTGACTGTATTGCCAAAAATGAAGTAGGACTTCAACAGCGAGCTTGTACTTTCCATATAACATCATCAGGTAAGTGAATCGCAAAGAAGCAGAAAAAAGCAATCCCTTGCAATTAAAGGGTATTATTAATGTCATCTAATGAAAATGCAGAATGCAAATGACATTGTTATTAGATAAACTGAATTAATCTTGAGGTTGAATGATGACGAAATTTATTCAGTAAACTTTGTTGTCGATTTTTTTTTCTCATTCTTAACCACAACATTTTACAGTTGATTGTATACTACGTAAATCCTAATACTATCTTAATGGAAATTTTCAAGTGAAAATAGACAGAAAAAAAATAAAGAGAGAGAGAGAGAGAATTCAATCAATTATAATGTTTATAAATCATCGATAAAAATAATCTAATAGCTAATCATCAGCATCTTTTTAAATGATAAATGATTTTTACAATAAGGAAATACAAGTAAAAGAAAAGGGAAGAGGAAAAGAAAGGAAAAAAAAAATAAGAAATAAAATGAAAGTTATTGAGTGAAAACTGAAAAAAATATGATGGAAAATTCTGAATCGAATGAGTTTTGTCGATAATATTGAAGGAGAAAGAAAAGTTTGTTTGATTCTCGATCAAGTCATTAAAATTTTCGTACAAGATCATTTTTCATTGACTCAATGAAGAAGGGAGAGAAAAGAAACTGCAATACTTTCAATAAATAGCCAATATATCCCCAATTACCTCTTATCTTGTTTACTCTCTGAATCTTCATCCCATGAACAAGAATCCAAGTACATATAGTCAAGATTAACCCCGGAAAAAATATGAATGAAACACAAGAATCTTTTTATCATCTTAAAATATTACATCCATTGATTTTTCTTTTTGTGTAATATTTATCTCTCTCTTTCTCTCTTCTTTAGTCTTGACCATCAAAATCTCTTTGCAAATCTTTTTCTTCTTGATATTTTATCCCACTTTCACTGCCAGTTAACCTCTTCTTCCTGATGATACAAATAATTTTCTCTTGCATCTTCTTCTTCACTCCCATCTCATCATCTTTCACTTGACCATTTTTTCCCATGTATTTTTCATCATTTTCAAATTTATCCTCATCTTTTCATGTTACATCAAAGGATAAGGATCATTATTACACATTGAGCTGTGACAATGATCAGTGTTAAATCAAAGATCATGTTATCATCCTATTCTGAGCCTTTACACTTTTACCAATGTTGATGATGACAATGAAATTACTGTTGATGTTTCTATTATTGTTGATATTTGTCTTTGGATATTTTTTTTCATCTCTCTCTCTCTCTCTCTCTCTCTCTCTCTCTCTCTCTCTCTCTCTCTCTCTCTCTCTCTGTCTCTCTACCAAATTGAGGTTATCATTCTGTATCATTTAAACTTTATCGACACAAAGATAGAATCTAAATCTTTCTCTCTAAAAGCAATAAGACCATTTTTCGATCATTTCTTTGTCAACTGACAAGCACAGTAGATTGTGTTATTAGTGACCAGTGGTAGCCAATTGTGAAATTCCTTATCAAATATAAATATACTTTCTCATTGCGCTAATATATATAAACTGTCAGATCTAAACTTCATCCTGTGTAAATCAACTAACATCAATTCAACCAATTTCATCAGCAAAAAGTAACAATTTAAAGACATTTAATACTTTGTGTGTATCTTATTGTTACTCTTATTTTTCTCTATCTATTAATAGATTAATAATTATCGATAATTTCTACAAGACTCAAAATCTTAGGTGATTTCATAAATTGTTTTCTTATTTTCCATCAACTTTTAAGCTTATTGTTTTTCTCTATTAACATTTAAACCAGATAATGATGAGAACTCAATTGATTTAAGATACTTTTGGATTCACTTTAAATATCATTGCTACATAATCTATTGTATCAACATCATTAGTGTGAAACTAATGATATTATTTAGCTAATCAACAATCATTAGCAACATTAACCTTTTCCTTGATTAAATTGAATTGAATTTATAATTGAATTAGATTACACACCATTTAAAAGATTAGTGAATCAATTTTTAGACTCTTTGATTTTGCTTTTTTCTCTATTATCTCTTGTTGGTCATTTCCTTTATTATTATTTTTGCTTCTTCGCCATTCATTTGAATCTCATATAACATAATGTTATAAATGACCGCCACTGTTTCTCCACTTTGACCCTCACTGTGTTAGCCTTAATTGTTGATCAATCAAGTTGGTGATAATGGTTGATGATGACCATGTTGCTATTGATAATGATACTGTTAATGATAATGATGATGATAATAGTAAAGTTAATGATAATGGCTAGACAAGAGTTCCAATGGCTTTGCATTTAGAATCATTAGTTTGTTTGTTTCTCTCTCTCTCTCTCTCCCTTTCTTTCCAATACTGTTATATGATATATCTCTGAAAAAGGATATTCACAAAATGATAACTTGGATATTGAATGAGAGAAAATGTTGAAAAAAAGTTTTTATCTACATGATAAATCTGATAATTATTATCAACAGGATGGAATTCAAAATAGACTGTTGATAGTATGATTATTATTACCATTATATTAAAATCGATGTAATCAAATAATTTATTCATCATCTAGTGATTAATAAAGATGAAGAAACTTTTTGATGGTTCAAATAACTCATGTTACCAATATTAGTTTGTATTTTTCCATGTAATCTGAATAAGTTTCCTTCGTATTCGTCATGTTGATATTATTATGTTTTCATCTAATGAATATAATAAGATGAATATTAATGAATTTTGATTCTTATTTAATTGACTCTCTCTCTCTCTCTTTTCTCTTTCTTTCTCTCTTTCTTGAATATTAGATCCTCCTAATTTATCATTTAGATGCCGAGTTGCCAATCAAAGTGAAGATTCACTTATGGTTCACTGTTTACCCGATGTAAGAGTTAATTATACTCATGAAGAGATTAAATTGGGAGATGATTCTAATCCATCCAGAGGATTATTCATTTATCCAGCTTCGTTTTTCATTTGTCAAGTTTATCGGAAAAATGAACAATATCCTATCGCCAATGTATCACAACCTTTAACTGTTCCATATCAATCACATTCATATGGTGAGTATCGTGATAGTTATGGGATAAGAACAATGAAAGTTATATAATTATAACCATAATAATAACATATGATCATGACTCTTTATTTAGTCTTTCACTCACTCACTTAAAATCGTTAATCATGGAACCAGAAAATAATCATTAACATCAGTAAATCAGTAATTTATATATGTGTTTAATAGCTGAGAACCAGGAGTTAGTTGAACAGGAAAACACTGATACACAGTAAAAATATGAATCCGTGAACAGAATCTGAATCTTTGAAATGGGAAAAATAAAGTAGAAAAAGAATAGAGAGAAATAAAGATAAGGATAATACTTGCAATTATATGAGAGACAATTGAGTTTAGATGAAACAAAAACTGAAATGATGAAGGAATGAGAATGCTGAGATGATGTAATAAGAAGATGATTATAATGTTTAGAATGATGAAGAGGTAGAGAAGACGAAGAAGATGAAGAAGAACCAGAAAAAAGTAAAAACATAGAAAAGGTTAGAATTTCTCAAGATATAAGTAGCCCTTGTTGTTGATGATGATGATAAGTTTCTTGTAGAAATCGATAAGACAAGAAAGGGATGATAGAAGATTGTTCTGTGTCGAGGTGAGGTGTTTTTAGAGAAAAAGGTAAAAATAAGAGAAAGAGAAAATCGAAAGATAAAAAGGTGATGATGAGAAAGGAAATTAGAACAAGCATCTTGAAACTTTGGAGTTTTCGTTTGCAATATGAGAATGATAATAATAGGAATCAGGGGATTCAAGCTGAATAGTGCTGAGAATACGGAAATAAGATGAGAATAAGATTGAGGTGGTGATAAGTCTAGATTGAGATAATTGTTACAATCTAAAGGTATTAATAGTTAAGCAACCAAATTGAATGATTATATATAAATGACAGCAGATTAGGTGTTGAAATAATGTGATAATAAATTAGATTAATGTGAACATGAAATTATTGTTTGTTCACTTGAATTCAAAGCAAATCAAATAATGAAAAAAAAGCCTAACATCTAATTGTAGTTAAAAGGATAAGTTTTAAAATATTCATTACGAATTACCCATGATATTGACACTACCAACTCCACCTTTCATCATGATAGTAAATAATCAATTGAACTTAACCAGAGAAAATGAAAATTTAAGGAAAATTATTATTATTAATGAATGAAGTTGATGAACTTTTTTTTTCCTTCACTTGATTAGTGATTTTGATTGAACTTTTTTTTCTCAATGGTAAAGAGAAAGAGAATCAACTTTGAATCTATTGTTTTCTTATCTTCTTTTTGTGAATGAACAATCTGCTTGATGAAAAGGTTTCATCTACATAGTTATAAATATATTACATTCAGTGAACAATATCAAAGGTAAATATGAATACCATGATTATCCAATAACATTTTAGTACATGATAAATAATAGGATAAGTAGAGTCAACATTGACTTTTATTCAGGTACAGAATTTCAGGTTTTATATGTACACCAGACACTCACACACAGATCCACATACATAACCAGGTAAAATTGGGTTGGGTTTTTTATCTACAAACCAAATTGATGGATGTGAATGGGAAACATGGTAAACATGGCGAGGAGAAAACAAAAATGCAACAAAACCTGAACTGAATTATATCCTTGATTGAATTTCAATATTTTCTGTTTTTTTACTGTTACGACGAAAAATGTTCCCAGCAATTGGATTAGCGAATTTTTTTTCTTCTCATAACAATCGATGACATCTCAATCATCAAAAGTGCTACAAAGTAAAAAAAAAGTTCTGAAAACTGAAGTATGAATTTTTCGTTGGCAACATTATATTAACTCTATTGGGCTGCAAGTTATCAATGAAATGCTGGGGGGAAAAAAGATTGAAATAATAAGCATACAAAAGTCAACAGAACAACAAAAAAATTGATGAAATGTGAACAAGAAAAGCGGACAAGGAAAGAGTATAATTTATCGTTTGATATCATGAAACAACATGATATAATATGATTGAGGATGAAATGATAAAGAAATGATAACCTTGTAAAAAAAAGTTATCTATCCATGAGGCTATCGTAATATTTGGTGTGAACATGAAATATTATGAGTGTTTACTTTCATTTGTCTATTCATATCCTTTTCCATGAATCTCTTTGGTAACACCAAAATCATCATGACCATTTCCTCATGGATTTTGTTGTTGTTTTTTCTTGGTCGAGTTTTTCAGTTGACAGGTAAGCCTTGAGATCCATTGTTACTATTATCATAATGTAGTATCATTTATGTAAGTGTATCATGAAGAAAAAAAGGCAAAAAATAGAATCAAATATTACCATTTATTCTAATGTCATGAACGGAAACGACACGATGATGATGATGAGGATAATAATGATTATCGAACCAATATCCACTTCGAACTACTCAATCATGGAACTCTTTTTTTGTCCCAATTCTCTTTCATATTCATGTTTCTCAAGATGATTCTTACTTTTCATGATAGAATAACATCCAAATGAAGGAGATGTCCAATAATAGAAGGTGTTAAAATAGCCATTTACCTCAAGACCATTCCAATGACAGGTCATTCTTTAGTAGTAAAACTTTTCTTTATATCTTCTTATTTTTTTCTGTTGATCATCTTTCTCCATATTATTCAATAATATCAATTTCAATGTCATTTAACTTTCTCATATTGTTACACGATAATAATGACCAATGATATTTTCTATCATTCCTAATGATGACACTTTCGATACTTTTCACAAAAAAAGTAATGGCTTCTTCTTGTAATCTTTGATGCTGAGAATTGATTTGACATTTTATTCATTTCTAATAACAAACTGATGATGGTGTTGATGATATTTCATGGTGAAATTGATACAACATTTAATACATTTAGTACAAAAAATTCAATTAGTCAAGATAATTTAATAATAATCCATCTTATTAAAATGTTACATTATCTTAATTTCAACTCAATGTAATGATATTATCATTATTATTATTTACCTTTTCAACGATGTTGTTGAAAAATATTTATTCTAGTTAATTAATCATCATGATAAATACTTAAAAATACGATGCTGATTATGATGGAATTAAATTAATTTAATATATAACAGTAAATCATGAATTTCTCTAGAATTACTTGAGATTATAATGAATCATAAATCAACATGAATCAATGAATAATTCAAATTATTAATACGACACCAACAAACTCAATTAATGTTGTGATGATTTTGTTTTTCTCGTCTTCTTTTTCATGTAATAATGTTGATTAGGTGTAAACACTTGATATTATTATTATTATTATTACAATGGAAATAGTTATCAAACTGACCAATTAATTTAGGTCAAGTGGTTATTACTATTGACTCATTATTTGATCATAATGAATTTCATTGAAAAGAAATGTCTATGGTTATGTACTATTATCATGTAATAATAGTACAATTAATTTATCATTGATTTTATCCTTTTATCTAAATAATAATAATTTGATAATTTGCTAATTTCTATCATGGTATTTTTGTTTCGTTTCACAGAAATTAATCTAATGCATCACAATGAGATCAAATTTTTAGTAAATAATTTAATTCCAGAGACAAGTTATCGTATCAAATGTTTTTCACTTCACTCTCGTGGCTCATCCCAAGTAATGTGGTTAACCGGTGAAACCTCACAACCAGCACAGAAATTGATTGGAAATGGTCGAGCAAATCTGTTGACAGTCAATGGACGTAATATATTCACTGGTAAACCAATGTTAATAGCCTTATTATTGGGAATCATTGTCGTCACCCTGATACTCATCTCACTTGGTATCATTGCCATAATCCGTGTCCGTCGTACCCATAGACATGTTATCGGTTTAACTCGACCTGATACTGATAATACACAACTTCCCCCGGGTGGAACCATGTTTGATGAAGCTGAAGAGGTTTGTTGCTGTGATGATGAGTGTTGTGATGAGATGCTTTTAACAACCACAACGGTCCAACAGCAAGAACAACGAGCCAATCAATTTAACACTCTTGATTCAAATGGTACTGCTAAAGGTCCACCTGATATAATACCTTCAATTGGCTATTGTTCAAGTAAAAGTAAAAACGACGAGAACAAATTTATCTCATCCTATGGTAAAATATACGATCCAATTGATTTCATTGGTTTTAAAATTCAATAGAACTCAACTAATTATTAATATGAATAACGATCTCGACTGAATTATTTTTCTTAAAAACTTTCCTTTGAGTCTATTTGAATTTTATACTATTCTTGACCATTTTTCAATACATATTATTAATATGATATTAATGAGATTATTTCTCTCCCTCTCGCAGATCCTGATAAATATGAAATTGCTCAAGGAATTACACTGGAACCAATATCAATTGTTAGGAATTCTTCATCCAAAAGTACATTGGACCGCAAGAATACCGTTGAATTCAAAAGTAAATCTGAGATAACTAAAGCAACTCGAGTTGATCTAATCGGAGGAAGTCCAAAATTTGAGTCGACAGTGTGAACATAGAAGCCAATTCAATCAAACAGTTCAATAATCAGGAGTATTAGTGTAAACGATGGTCAGAATCAAATGGATAATCCTTCAAGTTCAATCATCTGCAATTTCCTCTAATCACTATGAAAATACCAGTTCAAGAACTTTTATCAAGACCATTGGAATACTTTAAATTAGCAATGTTCGAATCTGTGAAAAGCCTTTTCCTCACCCAAAAACTGGAATCCATTCGACAATGAAAACTGATTGTGATATTATGCAGATACAAGAAATAACTTATATATACAACAACAGAATAGTTCAACAGAAATATTGATTATTCGATCAATTTATCATTAATAACTGAATAATTGCTTGTTCATCTAAAACTAGGGTCTTCCATCAATACTATAGTTAGAATCATTGACAATAACGGACTATCACAATTCTATGAATGATCTATGAGTAGAATCTGATCAAAGGAAATGACCAGAAAATTGTCTAATTAACGTGAAACAATTTTCCGAGATTCAGAACTCTCAGATTAATTGGCTATCGAAAAACTTTTTTTCATCAACAACAGTTTTTACCTTTTAATTTTTTTTTAATTTTTCTTTTCAATACTAATATTAGATCAGTTATCAGATTTTTTTACATCATTTGGTATTCACCCAGATCACAATGAACATTATCGTTATAATTGTCCATTTATCCTTTTTGTTACATGGTTACTACTGTTAGCTAATTACTATTACATCAAAGAGCAACTCTGTGATAAAACAATTAAGATAATTTTCATTTATAAAACTTTGAATTTTAAACTTTTATTATGTAAAAATTTGACAAAAAAAACTCATACAAATGAAGACAATTTAAAGTTTAATCGTTATCATCATGTCGATTGCCCTTAACTACAAATTGAAAGATTGTAATATAATCAATTGTCAAGAATAAAATAATAGAAATAAAATCTAATTTCTGAAATGAAAATCTTTCTTTCTCTGTTTATTGCTCACAATCAATTCCCCTGCAAATAACATTGATAGTATGGAGAAAAAGTTAATGTTCTTAAAAGATTTAATTTTACAATCAAGTTCGATTCGATTAAGCAAAAGCACTTTACTTTTTACTATGTTCGTCCTTTGAATAAACTTTACTTGGCTCATATTAATAATTATCGGTTTACCTTGAGCGAAACTTTGAAATCAATCAATTTCTCGGAATTGAGCCTTGAAAAATTAACAGAAAATTATGAAGTTGATCGATTATAATATTTAGCTTTTAATTCAATCTGATATTTTTCTGATAAACTCGAATTGTCTTACAAATCTTTTGTGGAACACAATTATCACAGTTGGAAGATTACAATATTTACAGAACATTTTATCCTTCGATTATCTGCTGAAAATAAAGAAATTTGATTTCTTTTGTTTCTGTTGATTAAACATAGGGAGTTAGAGGAAGAGAATCAGCTGATTGTAGTCTATCCGTTTTCACTCCATCAAATGCTATTGTAAAGATACTTTTCTTTGTCATCAGATCACTATTTTTGAGATTCATTTTCTTATCCAATCTATTTCTTCCTCCGATACCTGAATCTGAATCTGATTTATCTGAGTGATCTGAATTATCTCCATGTCCACTTGACTTGCTTGTGGTTCCATTGTGATTGACAGTCACTACTCCGGTGGTTAGTTTCTTGGGTTCAGTGTTATTTTCTGGTGAAGATAAGGGCGAATAGTTTTGCGAGCTGGATTCTAATTGCCCATTTTGATTTCCGTTGAGACCCATATGATTAGTAGCCCCAGATCTTGATGGAAATTCGATTGCCTCTTGTGAATCTAAAGCTGAATTTGTACCAGTTCGAGTGACCACACCGTCAACAAGTCCCATGTCGATATTAGATGTTTCACTTGGACTTCGATTGAATAGTCTCTCTGTACTATTGAGACTCTCAAGTAAATCGCTAGCTTTAGAATCAACCGGACGTTGACTTTTCTCACTCGAATTGGAACTAC